GGGAGCGGGAGGGGCCGCCGGGGCCGGCGGCGCAGGGCGAAGCCGCCGCGCTGAGGTTCGCGCTGGACCAGCTGTCGCTGCTGGGGCTGGAGGGCGCGGAGGAGCCGGCGGGGGCCGCGGGGCCGGGCGGCCTAAGGGAGCGGGAGCGCGGCGGATCATCCCCGGGGCCGGCCCCGGCCCCCGCCCCGGGCGCCTTCGGCAGCCTGGCCCCGCCGCTGGGGCCGCCCGCGCTGCTCGGGGAGCCGCCGGCCAGCAGGAAGAAGAGCGTGAACATGACCGAGTGCGTGCCCGTGCCCAGCTCCGAGCACGTCGCCGAGATCGTGGGCCGGCAAGGTAACGCGGCGCGGGGGGCACCGGGGGGCGCGGGGACCCCCCCTGGGGCCGGGGCGGCTCCGGGGCTTTGTCTCCGTGCGGAGGCGGAAACTTCGCGGCGGCGGCCCCGAAACTCGGCCGCGGGTCCCGGGAGCTGCGGTGCCGCCGAGCCGCCGGTAAATAGCGATAAAACTCCACGGTGCGGGAGAACGGCCGGGGTGGGATCAGCGGAAAGTTCCCGGGAGCCACGCGCGTCCGTGGGAGCTGCCAGGACACGGAGCTTTCTCTGCTTTCATTGTAGTTGTGCTTCTGCCCCCTCCCCTCCAGGCTCCGTGTCTCAGACCCGGTGTGTGAACGGTGCCGCTTATCTCGGACTTCAGTTTGTAAATCCTGACGATAAATCCGCTGTAAATGGTCGTTAACCCGCTCGTCCGTAGGCGGCCGGAGCTCCGGGGGCGCGGAGCCCCTCGCACCCAGCTGTCACAAAAGGACGCCCCAGCCCTCGTCCGGGTGGGTGTGCCTGGAGTGGGCTTTGTCTCCGGGAAATCCCGAATAAACCGAAGTTACACCTTGGAAAATCAAAAAGAAAAGACCCCGAGGCGGAGGATTTAAGGAAAAGAAAGGAGAAGGAAGGGAGCCGCTGCCTGCAGGGATCCCGGCAGGAATCCCCTCGCAGGGAGCGTGACCTCTGGAGCGTTTTGGCCGGGTGGGGTCTGGCACCCCAGCCCTGCCCTCGCCCCGCCGCTCCCACCCCTTCCCCGGCCGGGGGGCTGCGGGCCGGGGGTCGGGGGGCTTTTTTTTCGCGGGGGGAAGCGGGGAGCTGGGCAGGCTCATTGTTCTCTTTGTTAGCCAGAGCCATGCTGTGATGAGCGCGGTGACATCATGCTCTGCGCTTCCCATTGGCCTGCGCTGCCTCCCAGCCGGCCCCGCTTCCCGGCCTCCCAACTTTCCAGGCACCCCCTCTCCGGTCCCACCGGCCCGGCCGCGGGGTCCCCCCGAGCTGCCGGACCCGGCCGGGGCAGAGCCAGAGGAGAGGAGAGGGAGAGGAGTGTGGCACCGCGCCCTGCTCGGAGGATCCTCCTCCTCCCGCGGCTGCACGGAGACCTGGATTTGGTGGCTTCACCGGCGGGCTCCGCAGAGCCCGAGGGTCCCACAACTTGAAACCAAAGCTGTGCCGGGGAACCCGCCGGTCCTGCCGGGTGGAGGAGGGCGGAGGAGCAGCCGCGTCTGGAGCCGGGAGCTGCCGGGTGGCACCTTCCCCTGGGTGTTTCGGTGTGGTGAGACCTCGGTGCTGCACCTCCAGCACCACCGAGTTCAGTGGGCAGCCAGGTACCTCCCTCAACTGCCTCGGGCAGAGTTTGGGGGCTCACTAAGCTCCGAGGGCTTGCGGAAAAAGTGTTGCCAAAGAAATTATTACACCAGCTTGATGTGGGGTGCTGGTTGTGTCCTGCTGGTGGGCTTGGAGGGGACCTGAACCCAGCCACGGGCTGGAGGTACCTGCTGCTGCCCCAGCCCACGGGCAGGAACAGCTCTCTCCAGGGGTTCCCCCATGTGTTTCCTGCCCCTTTCCTGGGCTCAGCCTGTTGGGATGCTGTGCAGGGGCCTCACGCTGGGTTTTTGGTGTGGAGGGGACTCAGCTGCCCTGGTCACACTGGTGGGCAGCAGTGAGGGGAGAGGGCTGGCAGCACAGTATCTTTGTGCTCTGGCTGCTCTCCGGTGCATCCAGCAGCTGGGTTAAACCAAGGCTGTGTGAGGCTGGTGTAGCCTGAGCAGGGGCAATACCGAGGTCGTTTCCTGGGGCTCACATGAAGCAGAGCCCTACTCATCCTCCCTGTGGTGTCTCCTGGGTCCTTCTGGTCCTTGGGTGGGTCTCCCTCAGTTCTGGCAGCCCCCTGGCAGCAGGGTCTGACTGCAGGGCCGAGCCTTGTGGTGTTTGGCTGGGCCCAGCATTGCTGCGGTGACGAGATGTGCTGCTGGTGACACTGCAAGGCAGGATCAGGTCACCCAGACTGTGTCCCTGCCACTCTCATCTTCCCCACACTGCCCAGCCTGGCCATGACACAGGGAGCAGACACTTGTGGTGCTGCCGTGCTTGGAACAGAGGAAGGGATGAAGATGTGAATATTGGTGCCCTGGAAGGGACTGGAGTTGGGGCAGAGCTCAGGTTCTCTCCCCACACACCCTGTGCTGAGGAACAGCTCTTGGGGAACTTTGAGACCCGTCCTGCTGTCCCCAGACGCAGCAGCCCCTCACTGCCCTGGTGAGTGGGGACCAGGGAGGCCCTGGCAGCTGGGACCAACACGTGGGTGTCCTGTGCAGTCTGAGGTGGGACAGAGCCAATGGGACACGATTTCTCCTACTTCTCCTTTTTCTTCAATTTCTCTCCTCCAGATCCCCTAATTTAAACCTTTCCCCAAGGAGCAGCAGCGGCCCAGCAGGTAAACCTTTGTTCTCTAAAGCAAGTCGGTGTTTCCTTGCCCGAGCTGGAGGAGCAATTGCCATGGCCCCGTGTCCAGATTGGCATCGGTGATGGCACAGTCTGCCAGCTGGGATCTGCAGCCTCCCCCTGCCCACACAGCTGCCCACAGGCAGCGTGGCCAGGCGGGATTCCCTGGCCGTGCCCTTGCCTGCAAGCCCGTTCATGACTCCTACCGTGGGAGGGGCCGTCTCCAAAAAGCGCTGTGGGCACTGAAGGCAGCGGCGTGGGCTCCCCTCGCCATCCAGCAGAGAGCTGTGATTGATTATGGTGGGGACCACTGGGGAGCAGTGTTGGAGCTGCCATAGCTGTGCTGGGGGGGTTTCCTGCTGCCCTGGCTTTCGAGGGGCATTTTCAGCAGCTGCTGCCCCAGCGAGGCCGGGGGGGGTGCAGCCGAGGGCTCCGCGCTCTGCTCGCCCCTCCCATGCCTTTGCCTCCCGTGGGATGGAGCCACGGCTCCTCTCCCCATCTGTGACACACAGGGACTGTCACAGCTCTGCAAAAGGAAAGTTGCCATTTATAGAAGACGCTGGGATGCTCAAAGGGGAGATCCAGGGAAGGATGGAACAGTGCAGGCAGCGTTCTGGTGCTTGGAGGATGCACGGGGAGACCATGGGCCCCCCCTGGACCAGCCCAAGCACCTGTAATCTTGCAGTGGATCACAGGGGTGGGATGAATCCGCTCATTTTGGAGCCCTGGGTTCTCTGCTGTCTCCTACCTGTGGTGCCACATCCCTTGAGGCACCTGGCACGTCCTCCTGGCTGCCTCCTCCCACCTCCTTTGGTCATAGCAGAGCTGGGAACTCCTGAGGGTGGTCACACGTATGGATCTGGTCGCTGAAGGATCTGCCTGTGCTCTGCTCTGGCTCTGGCTGCACCCTGTGTCCCCAGGGGAGGAGCCCAGCCTGCCTGCCTCGCTCTCCCAGGTGCCTGGAGAAGAAGCCAAGGTGTGATGTGCTTGCCTCCCGCAGCAGGGCTGCAGGATGAATTCATTACTGTGTGCAGAGGTGGGAAGAACTGCTTGGGAAGAAGGGGATGAGCTGCAGTGGAGGTGCAGCCTGTTCTCCTCCTTGCCTGGCCCCAGTTCTGGCCCATCCTGTGCCATTCACCAGTTACAAAGGGAACTGGGAGCTCTGGAACTCTGGATCAGAGGCCAAGAGATGCTACAGAGCTGAGGAAGAGAGCAGATAACACTCCAGAGGGCCAGGCACAAGGTGTGAGCGGGCTCCAGAGGCTGTGACAGACACCATCCTCCAGGGTGATGCCATCAGAGGCTCTTCTAGAAAAGCTCTGTCAGACCTTTCTTGGGTTTTCCCACCTCATAGCTGGGCATGGCCAGCACAGACCTCCTTGGGCAATGGAGCCGTGGTCTGGGCAGGGCAGTGGGCTGGCTCTGCCCTCCTGGTGTGCAGGAGGCACCTGATGTTGGTGCAGATGCTGCCTGGGCCGTGCTGGGGGTCAGACGTGGATGAGCAGCGTGGGCTCCCTCATCTCCAGCGTGGGTGTCAGGATGGAGAGGCCCTTCCCACCCCACTGCCCCAGTGTTGTGCTGGTTCTCCTGGGCTCTGGCAGTGGTCACAGCCCTGATCAGACTGGCGCTCCTCTCAGGGGGCCACGTTCTCTTTGGTGATGCTGAGAAAGGACATTCAGGGAGAGCAGCTGCTGTTCCTGGGGTGCATCGTGCCCAGGAGAATCCCTTGGGATCCTGTTTCTTGCTGGAAAGTAGTGATTCCCCAGCCTGAGGGTGGGTGAGACAGGCCCAGCCAGGGCACTTGTGTGGAGTGGAGTGTGGCAGGAGTCATGTAGGATGGGTAGAGGGTGGAAGAGAAGGATGTGGAGTCTGGAGCCTGAGCTGGTGGGGAGGGTTGGGAGGAGAGTCCAGCTCCCTCCTTCCGTAGGTACCCTCCATGTGGCAGAGCTGGGTGTGGTGGCACAGGGGGCTGTGACTCCCTGGGCTGGACATCTCTGGAATGTGGGTGTTTGCTGGCAGCTGAGAATGGCCATGGGATGTCAAGATGAGTTTGTGCCCACAGGGACTCTACAACTGAGTCACCTTTGGGCTCTGGTGTTGAGAAGGGGTTGTTGGAGCTAAGGCATCCCTGGGTCTGTCCTCTCATCCCACCCCTGGTTTTGAGGTGTTTTCATTTGGATCTGAAAAGTGCCTTTAAAGCCACCTTGGCTGGAGACTTGTAGCAGAGTCTGGCACCTTGTTCTCCTGCCCTGTCGCCACTGATGCAGCTCTGGCCCTTGGCAAGGGGAATGTGGGGATGTCAGCTGCTGCTGCTGCTGGGCTGAGGTCTGGCACTGCCTGTGAGGGGGTCACTGGCACTGCTGGGCAGCCCCAGGTCTTTCCATGGCCCCCTCCACCATGGCCCTGTTCCTGCAGCAGCTCCAGAGGATGGATGCAGCCATCCAGGATGGTGTCACAGCGTGCGGGGTGGGGCTTGCAGGGGCTCATCTGAAACATCTCATGCTGGTCTGGATCATTCCAAGCACAAGAAAGACGTGGAACTGCAGGAACAAGTCCAGAGGAGGCCACAGAGATGCTCCAAGGGCTGGAGCCCCTCTGCTCTGGAGCCAGGCTGGGAGAGCTGGGGGGGTTCACCTGGAGAAGAGAAGGCTCCAGGGAGAGCTGAGAGCCCCTTGCAGGGCCTAAAGGGGCTCCAGGAGAGTTGGAGAGGGACTGGGGACAAGGGATGGAGGGACAGGACAAGGGGGAATGGCTTCCCAGTGCCAGAGGGCAGGGATAGATGGGATATTGGGAAGGAATTGTTGCCTGTGAGGGTGGGGAGGGGCTGTCTCAGGTTTCCCAGAGCAGCTGTGGCTGCCCCTGGATCCCTGGAAGTGTCCAAGGCCAGGTTGGAGGGGGCTTGGATCAACCTGTTCTAGTGGTGATTGCCTATGGCAGGGACAAGATGGACTTTAAGGTCCTTTCCAACCCAAACTATTCCATGATTCCCCCAGTTGCAGTTGCAGGTCAAACCACCAGTTTGTGCTTTGAGTCCCTCTGGCTCTCAGAGGGGGGCTCAGCCATGGGGAGTCCCTGCTGCCAAGGGCTGTCTCAGGTAGAGTTTGGGACTGGGGACAGGGCAGGACAGGTTGGTCCCTGGGTGTGGCCGTGGTGCTGTCCTGGCCCTGCTCCCTCCCCGTTTCCAGGAGCGCTCCCTGGTGTGTCCAGTGATGGGGGCTCCTCTCGGGCACAAGTTCCTGTTGCTGGTGCCAGCCCATGGCCTCAGGCAGTGCCTTCCCTACCTGATGCCTCCTTTCCCACAGTGTTCCCTGCTGCCATCCCCATTTACAGTCAACTGGGAGAATCAGCTCCCACCCTCTGACTGCATTTGGTGCCACCGGTGCCCTGGCAGTGTCCAGCAGCTGCAGGCTGGGAGCATTTTTCCTGCCCTACTTGTTTGAGGAGGGTGGAACTGGTCAAGCCAGGCACCCCTTTAATTTTTGTCCCAGCCTTTGTCCCTAGGAAGGGCTCACAGGAACAGCTGGATAAACTCTTCCTCTCTCTTGTGCTGCCATGGCATCAGTTGGGTCCCGCTGGTGCCACTGGCACAAGGGAGTGGAGTGAGGAAGAGCCTCCCTGTGCTGTGTCCCCTGTGGGATGTGGCTCCTGTGCAGCTCCTGGAGCTGCTTACGCCTTTGGATCATGAAATTGCCATTTCAGGAGAGAGGGGGGGGGTTTAGGTTAGATCTCAGGGAAAGGTTCTTCCCCCACAGGGTGCTGGGGCACTGCCCAGGCTCCCCAGGGCAGTGGGCACAGCCCCAAGGCTGCCAGAGCTCCAGGAGCGTTTGGACAACGCTCTGAGGGACAGGGTGGGATTGTTGGGGTGACTGTGCAGGGGAGGGGTTGGACTGGATGATCCTTGTGGGTCCCTTCCAACTCAGGACATTCAAAGTTTCTATGATGCTGCGAAGGGTGAATTTGGGACCTTGGGAGACACCAGCAGAGCCCCTTCCCACTGCCCTGGGCTTGTCCTGGTTTGCCAAGCACTGGAGCAAGGGGAAGAGCTTATAGCAGGTACCAGGGTAAATCTGGGAGGGGAACATGGGAGTTGCAGGCACCTCTCCCTGGACAACCTGATGGGGGCTGGCACATGCTTCCAAAAATGTCACTTCTGATGGTTCTGCCCTGCCCCAGTCCCTGGGCTGTTGCTTTCCCTGCCATGTACTCCAGCCATAAACCCACCAGGGTTTAGTGCTACCAAAGAGCTGGGCTGGGACACCCCGGGCAGCTGCTGCTGCTCACTTACTGTGACAGTTTTTTACTTCTTGTCAACCACGATGTTTAATACCCTGGGAAATGCAGCAGGAATAGCACAGCTCCTGTTTGCCCTCTGGCTGCTGGGGAGCCTGGATTGATTTACCTGGTTGGGACAGACCTGACTGAAAGTCTTGTGCCATCTCAGCCCCGGCTGAGTCACAGAATCCCAGAATGGTTTGGGTTGGAGGGGACCTTAAAGTCCATCCAGTCCCACCCCCTGCCATGGGCAGGGACACCTTCCACTAGCCCAGGTGGCTCCAAGCCCCGTCCAACCTGGCCTTGGACACTTCCAGGGATGGGGCAGCCACAGCTGCTCTGGGAAACCTGTGCCAGGGCCCCACTGTGGTGGGTTGACCCTGCCTGGATTCCAGGTGCCCACCAAAGCCACTCCATCACTGCCCTCCACAAGTGGACAGGGGAGAGAAAATCTAAGAAAGGTTCCTGACTTGAGACAGGGACAAGGAGAGAACCCTCACTGATCACCAGCATGGGCAAAACAGGCTCAACCTGGGGATATTAATTGAATATATTACTAACAAAATCAGAGCAGTACAATGAAAAGGCAAATAAATCTTAAATACACCTTTCCCCACTCCTCCCTCTCCTGGACTCTCCCTCCTCCTCCCAGTGGTGCAGGGAGATGGGAATGGGGGTCCTGGTCAGTTTATCACAGATTGCTTCTGCTGCTGCTCAGGGAGAGGAGTTGGAGTCCTTCCTCCCATGGGAGACAGTTCTCCATGAACTTCAACATGGGGCCCTTTCCATGGGGTCAGTCCTTCAGGAACAGGCTGCTCCAGCCTGGGCTCCTCTATCCATGGGGCTGCAGCTCTGTGCCAGGACCCTGCTCCAGCAGGGGCTTCCCAGGGGGTCACCTCCTCCTTTGGCCATCCCCTGCTCTGGAATGGACTCCAGAGCTCCATGTGCCTCAGGGGGGTCTCTGCACCCCCATGGCCCCCCATGTGCTGCAGGGGGGTCTCTGCACCCCCATGGCCCCCCATGTGCTGCAAGGGCACAGCTCCCTCCCCATGGGCTGCCCCAGGGGCTGCAGTGGAACCTCAGCTCCAGTGCCTGGAGCCCCTCCTGCCCCTCCTCCTGCCCTGCCCTGGGGCTCTGCAGGGCTGTTCCTCTCCCGTGTTCTCACTCTGCTCTCTGCACCCAATTCCATCTGCTCAATAACATTTTTCCCATCTTAAATACATAATCCCGGGGGTGTTCCCACCATCTCTGCTGGGCTCGGCCTTGGCCAGCAGCAGGTCCATCCTGGAGCAGCTGGAATTGGCTCTGCCAGACAGGGGAGAAGCTTCTGGCAGCTGCTGACAGAAGCCACCAAACCCTGGCCATGCAAACCCAATACACTCACCACTTCCACAGAGTGAAGAATTCCTTCCCAATCTCCCATCTCACCCTGCCCTCTGGCACTGGGAAGCCATTCCCTGTGTCCTCTCCCTCCATCCCTTGTCCCCAGTCCCTCTCCAACTCTCCTGGAGCCCCTTTAGGCCCTGCAAGGGGCTCTCAGGTCTCCCTGGAGCCTTCTCTTCTCCAGGTGAACCCCTTGAGCTCTCCCAGCCTGGCTCCAGAGCAGAGGGGCTCCCGCCCTTGGAGCATCTCTGTGGTTGCCTCTGGACTCACTCCAACAGGTCAGCATTTTTCTTGTGCTGAGGCCCTTCAGCCTCCCAGGGCTCTCCCTTCTCCAGCCTTGCAGCTGGAAGAGCAGCCCTGCCCTTCCTCGGGGAGCATCTGGGAAGAGGAGGAGGAGGAGGGGGGGAGCCCCGAGCGAGCTGTTTGCAGAGGAGCAGAGGAGCCAGTCGGGCCCTCGGCTGTGCCCGGAGGAGTCGAGCTGTTTGTCCCTGTGGATCCTGCAGCAGCGTTTGTGAAGCACAGGGACAGTGTCAGGGCTCTGCTTGGGCACCTGCCACCCCTGTGGGCTTCCAGCTTTGCATTGGGTGCCCCACAGAGCTCAGGGGTGAGTGGGAGGTGGGAGGCAGGGGGTCACTCACCCCTGTGTGCCGGTGACAGGCTGAGCTGAGCTCCGGGTGCTCTGTGCCAGGCTCGTGGGGATTTAATTAAGAGCGATGCAATCAGGGCAGGGGGTGCAGGGAGTGGGGCTGTGCTGGCGGCTGCAGGTGGCTCCTCAGTGGGGCAGTGAAAAGTGGTCCTAGAGGAGAGTTGGAGCCTTTTGTAGTCCCGATCCCAGGAGCCTTTGGCTGGATGGATGCAGCCAGGATCTGCAGCCAGAGCCCAGCTTGCCCGCGGGGGAGAAGGGGCAGGGCCGTGCCCGGGGCTGTGTGAGGCAGAGTTGGCAGAGTTGGCAGCACAGTCCCGGGCTCCACATCCCAGCTGGGCTCTGCTGAATCACGTTCCCGTGGGGAGGAAGCAGGTCCTTCCAGAACAGGGAGAGTGAGTGCCCTGGGAGCACCTCAGCCTCGGTGCTGGGGATCCCTCCCTGGGGGCAGGGAGGGGAGGGGGTGCCTGTGCCCCCCGCCGTGGGGAGCCCCAGCTGCCCCAACCCTCTGGGGCTGTCGCTGGAGTGCAGCCAGGGCTGTTCCTCAGGTTCAGCTGCTGGCTGGGAGGTGTCAAAGGACCTGCAGGATCCAGACAAGCGTTTTTTTCCCCTCCATCCTGGTGTCTTGTTTTGCCTTGTACCTCCTTAAACACCCTCTGAGTGAATCCAGCATCCCCCCCTTTCAGCGACCCCGACTCTGCCCCCATGGCCACCTGCCCTGGCCCCCTCAACCCACGTGTTCCAGCCCTTTGGAGTGGGGCTGCTGGCTGCGTCCTGCTGCTCCTCAATCCCAGAGGGTCAGGCTGGTGCCAGGAGTCCTGGAGAGAGCAGTGCAGCCCCCCAGCACTGAGCTGTGAGCCCTCATCTGCCTCGGAGGCAGGAGAGACCCCTCTGTCCAAGGGTGTCTGTGCTGCAGGCGCAGAACCAAAGGGACCTGCTGGTTCCTGGTGGTCCTGCATGTCCCCATCCCGGGTGTGCAGGGGTTCCCTGTGGGGTCTCAGTGCTGATGTGTCATCTCTCCCCCTCCTCCTTGCTCTGCAGGCTGCAAAATCAAAGCCCTGCGTGCCAAGACCAACACGTACATCAAGACGCCGGTGAGGGGCGAGGAGCCCGTGTTCATCGTCACCGGGAGGAAGGAGGACGTGGAGATGGCGAAGCGGGAGATCCTCTCGGCCGCCGAGCACTTCTCCATGATCCGGGCCACGCGCAACAAAGTGAACGGGCTGACGGGGGCCATGCAGGGACCCCCCAACCTGCCGGGCCAGACCACCATCCAGGTGAGGGTCCCGTACCGGGTGGTGGGGCTGGTGGTGGGGCCCAAGGGGGCCACCATCAAGCGGATCCAGCAGCAGACGCACACCTACATCGTGACGCCCAGCCGGGACAAGGAGCCCGTGTTCGAGGTGACGGGCATGCCCGAGAACGTGGACCGCGCGCGGGAGGAGATCGAGGCGCACATCACCATGAGGACAGGCTCCTTCATCGACGTCAACGCCGACAACGACTTCCACTCCAACGGCACCGACGTCTGCCTCGACCTGCAGGGCAGCGCGGGCGGCCCGTGGGCCAAGGCCCCCCACCCCGCCCACCCCGCCCACCGCTCCTCGGCCGCCCTGCGCAACGACAGCCTCAGCTCCCTGGGCAGCGCCTCCACCGAGTCCTACTACAGCGGGCGGGTGGCGGCCGCCAGCCCCACCAGCCCCTACAGCACCTTCAGCGAGCCCCCGGCCCCGCTGGGCTCCGAGGAGTGCGACTTCGGCTTTGACTTCTTGGCCCTCGACCTCACCACGCCCACCACCACCATCTGGTCGCCCTTCGAGCGCTCGGGCAACCCCCTGCAGGCCTTCAGCAGCTGCTCCTCCATCAACAGCTCACAGAGACGCAACAGCGGCCCGGCCACGCCGCGCCACTCGCCCACCCTGCCCGAGGGCGGCGCGGGGCTGGAGCACCCCTGTGCCCGCCGCATCCCCAGCGACCCCGCCGGTGCCCTGGCCTGGCTGCCCGCCCAGGGCTCGCTCTCCTCCTTCTCCAACAGCACCGGCTACTCCTCCTCTTCCTCGCTGCCCGGCAGCATCTCGGCCGCCTCGGGCTCGCCCACCGACTCGAGCAGCTCCGACGGGCACCGCAAGAGCTCCCGGGAGTGCATGGTGTGCCTGGAGAGCGAGGTGATGGCCGCGCTGGTGCCCTGCGGCCACAACCTCTTCTGTATGGAGTGTGCCCTGCGCATCTGCGGCCGGGCACAGCCGCAGTGCCCCGCGTGCCACGCGCCCGCCACCCAAGCCATCCACATCTTCTCCTAGCCCGGGGGGCTGGCCGGGCAGCACCCCCACCCTCCCTCCTCCACCCCGACACGGCGTTTTAAGGACTGTAAACTGTTTAAATCGAGCTTTTTATTTAATAACGGATCCGATGGGCGCACGGGGCGGGAGGGGGGAGAGGCTGCTGTGAGAGGAGAGGTGGAGAGGGCACGGAGGGGCGGGGGGGTGGCCAAATCCGGGGGGTTGGGAGGGTGGGGGCGAAGGGGCCGAAGATGAGGACGAGGATGAGGAAGAGGGGGCGTGAATTCCGCGAGGAGGAAACTCCATGTTTACAGAATAGCTTTAACTCTTCACCTGGCTGTGGGGCTGGGGAGGGAGCCCGGCTGTTCTCCACCAGTCCTTCCCAAATATACCAGTATTCCGTTTGCAAACTGAAATAACCAGAAAGAAAAGGTCCGGTTGCACTTTTTATTTTAGGACACGCAAGGGTTGTCTTTTATTTTTTTAAAATCATTCTATTATTATTATAATAATTTTTTTTTGTGGTTCTTTTTGTATGTAGTTATTTTTTTGGATGATTCTCAATGGTTCTATAAATATATATATATATATTTTTTTTTTGTAATGCAGGTCTATCTTGTAATTTGCCAATGTGAAAACTGCCCAAAAATGTGTGATGTGAGGTTGGGAGGTCGTGGGATGGAGGGGGCACAGTTAACACACCATGTCACAAAAACCAGACAGATTTCTATCTCCATTTTATTTTGTGGTTGGTTTTGGGGTTGGTTTTTTTTGTTGTTGGTTTTTTTTGTTGTTTTTCATCTTTTTTATTTTTTACCTCTTTATGTATATGTAGGGAATTTATAGGAAAATATGTACTTTATTGAATAAATTTTAAAAACTAAAATATATTTTATTTTAAAAAGAAAATAACGGACCTTTAACCTTACATGGCTAAAGTACTGATTATATATTTGCTGAGCTGACTTGACGGTTATGAAAATTGTATCAAGAGTTTTATTTTTTGACTTCAAAGCCTTCTTAATAAAGACTTTTTACTATATATGAACTCTTGTGCTACCCCAGTGTCTCCCTGTCTCTGAAGCCTCTCGGCACCCGTTCAGCATCTCAGGACCACCCCCCTGCTCTGGGTTTGGGGGCTGTGCTGGGAAGCTGCACATCCCACTGCATTATCTCTCCCAGGCCATGTTGGGAAAGTGCCCAAGTGTAAGAAGGTCATGGAGCTGCTGGATCAAGTCCAGAGGAGGCCATGGAGATGCTCCAAGGGCTGGAGCCCCTCTGCTCTGGAGCCAGGCTGGGAGAGCTGGGGGGGTTCACCTGGAGAAGAGAAGGCTCCAGGGAGAGCTGAGAGCCCCTTGCAGGGCCTGAAGGGGCTCCAGGAGAGCTGGAGAGGGACTGGGGACAAGGGATGGAGGGAGAGGACAAGGGGAATGGCTTCCCAGTGCCAGAGGGCAGGGTGAGATGGGATATTGGGAGGGAATTGTTGGCTGTGAGGGTGGTGAGGGTCTGTCCCAGGTTTCCCAGAGCAGCTGTGGCTGCCCCATCCCTGGAAGTGTCCAAGGCCAGGTTGGAGGGGGCTTGGAGCCACCTGTTCTAGTGGAAGGTGTCCCTGCCCATGGCAGGGCTGGCACTGGATGGGCTTTAAGGTCCCTCCCGCTTCAATTCATTTGCCGCAAACGGTGCCGAGTGAGGACATTTTTCCACAGGAGGGGAGTTTGGGGTGTCCTGGGTGGTGGGGGGTGTCCCTGATAAAGCTTTCCAGCATTTCCCATATGGGGTCTTGGGGTGCCCCTTATGGGCACTCTTGGCGTGTTCCAAAGGGGGTCTCGAGGTGCCCTGCACGGGGGGCCATGGGGGTCCCACAGCGGGGGGATAAACCAGCCCCAGCACCCCCAGGAGCTGCCAGGGGAGGGGTTGGGGGGCGGAACGGGGGGGCGGAGAGGGGCAGGGAGCGGAACACACCCCGCTCCAATTAGCGGCAATTAACGGCCATCGATGGGTGCGGGCGGGGGAGGGAGGGAGTTGGCAGCAGAGGCGGGGGCCGCGCCGTGGTCTCGGGGGGTTCTGTGGTTGCTGGGGACCCCTTCGTGCAGGCGCGGGGTCCTGGGGTCCCGCCCGAGGTGCTGCTGGGGGGCTTCACCCCTGCCCGCGGGTCTGGGGGGCTCAGCACCCTGGGAAGCTGTAGGTGTTGTGGCTTAGGTGTCCCCTGGGTCACCAGTGTGCTGGGACCTGGAGCAGTGGCATCTTGTGGGGTGCATGTGCCCGGTGGTGGGTCCAGCCGTGGGCTCCCCACCCCCTGTGGGTGCTGGTGAGGGTGCTGCACCCTGGTGAGGCTGCTCAGAGGGCTCCCTGACCCCCAGGGCCCTGTGGCCTGGCCAGTGCAGCACCTTGCAGGGTGTTTGTCACAGGTGAGAAAAGGGTTCGGTACCCCCGGGGCACTGCCTGTCCTGCAGCTTGCCAGACTCACCGGGCTGCTTTCAGCCCCTGGATCCCAGCCCTCATCCTCCTCTGAGTCAGCCCAGCTCGACCCAAGGACCCTTCTGCTGTGAGCAGGCAGAGGGATGGGCTCTGGCTTCTCCCTTGTGCTGCTGGGTATCAGAAATGGTCCCCACAGCCACAGGGCAGCCTTGAAACACAGTCCTTTCCTCTCTGAATGTACAGCCTGTGGAGGGTGCTGGAATTTCTGCACCATCCATTGTCATGGAGTGACTGAGATCCCTATGTCCCATCCCTGGAAGTGTCCAAGGCCAGGTTGGATGGGGCTTGGAGCAACCCAGGCTAGTGGAAGGTGTCCCTGCCCATGGTAAGGGGTGGAAGGAAATGATCTTTAAGGTCCCTTCCAACCCAAACCATTCTGGGATTCTGCGAGAGTTCCTTAGATGCAAACCTGAAGTAAAGCCCTTCCTTCTCCCCCTGCAGCCCGTTCAATGCTTGCTTGACTGACTCTAGTGATGCATTAGCACATGTGCTTTGCGTGCTGCAGACCTGGAAACATTTGATGCAGCCAAGTTCCCTGAATCTGCAGAATCAGCAAACCAGGATGACTTTTCAGGCCCTGGAGGGGCAGGCACTGAGCTCTGCTCTGGGACCAGAGGGAACCAGCTGGAGCTGTGCCAGGGGGGTTGGGATGGATCTCAGGGAAAGGTTCTTCCCCCACAGGGTGCTGGGGCACTGCCCAGGCTCCCCAGGGCAGTGGGCACGGCCCCAAGGCTGCCAGAGCTCCAGGAGCATTTGGACAATGCTGTGAGGGACAGGGTGGGATTGTTGGGGTATCTGTGCAGGGCCAGGGGTTGGACTCCTAGGGGATCCATTCCATTAAGGATATCTTAGGATTCTATGATCTGTGACTCCATTTAACCCCTTTCCTGATGCCCTTGGCTTTGCAAAGGGTGGGTGCACTGCAGAGACCCTCAGGGAAGCTGAGAGGACCAGGGATGCTGCTACTGATCCTTAGAGCTGGCAATCCTTGGGGTTGGATATTCTTGGGAGAGGGTCTGGAAAGCCCCCAGGTGCCTGCCCCCTCCCCACACCTCAACAGGAGCCACAGTGAAGGGTGTGCTTTTTAATGTCAGTTATAATAAAATATTTTTACAGAGCCCAAAAAATTCAAAATAGTGCAAAACATCTCACTGTCATGCATCCATGGCAGCCGCCGCCGCCGGCGGGACAGACACACAGGCATCGGTGACACTGTGCTACAGGAGCAGAATTGGTCAGTTCAATCACATGCCAACAGGACAGTTTGGGGAGGGGGCACAGGGCCAGGGGTGCAGGGCTGAGCCCCAGCCTGGCTGTGCAGGAGCAGCTGTAGAAAAAGGGTGTAAACATTGAACAGAAATGAGAGAGGAAAGCGAAACCCTTTGGTCCCAGGCAAACCCTCTAGAAAAAGGAGCGTGGGGGCCAGTCGGGGTACCCTGTTTTGGGGTGGGAGGGGGCTGAGAGAGCTGTATTGACTTGTAGGGTCGTCAGGCCTCTGTCTGCCCCAGTACTCGGGGCAAACTGGCCAGCTGGGGTGGCCACCCCAACACCACACACCCTGACCTCCCAGGCACTCGCACGAGACATGCACACACCACTTACCACACAGAAATGGTGCTTACTGGGGAACTGGGGTGGGACAGAACTGGTGCTTAATGGGGAACTGGAGGGAGGGGTCCTCTGGGGTGGGGTGGGAAGGGTCTTGCTTGCGCCAAGGAGGTCCCATGGGCTGCCCTGCACAGGGACGCTGGTCCCCACTGGCCAGAGCAAAGGGGGATAGGTCCCTCTGCTCTGGTGCCCCCAGCCCTTGCCCCCCCCCCAAGCCCTGGCACCTTGTGGGAGGCAGTGGGGCAGCCTGTGGTGGCAGCAAGGCAGGGAAGACAGGATATGGGCCGGGGGCTGCTCCCTGCTGCTCCCGGCCCCGGTGATGCCGCTGCCAGCCAGGGAGGGGACCCTGTGCAGGGCACGTGGGGGCTGCACCTGCCAACCCAACAGCCCCAATAGCCCTTCCGGGTGCAGGACACAGCCTGGCCGGCTGCCCTGTATGTACAGCTATTTACATATGTACAGGTGCTCAGGGGTGGGAGCTGCCCTGCCCCTCAGGGCACATCACAACGCTCAGGGACGGGGACAAGGGGCTGTCACGCTGTGCCAGCCACTCAGCAACACCCCCAGGTGGGATGAGACACACACACACACACAGCCCCTCTCACCCCCCCACACATCCCCCAACCCTTTCCTTGTGTCACTCAGTGAGGTTTGGGGCTGGGTGTGACAGTGCAGGTTCAGGGATGGGCCAGTGGGGTTCCTCCACCTCAGACAGGCTGGGGAAGGGTTGATTGGTCCCATCACCCAGGCTGGGGTCCAGCCCTTCCCTGCAGCCCCCCCAGCCCCAGCACCTTCCTGCGGGGTGGGATGGGGGCCTGGCTGTGCCCGGCACCGCTGTCACCCAGCGTGGCCAGGGAGGGAGGGGAGGGTCTGTCACTGCAGCCACATCACCCCCTCCCCAGGGCCAGCACGGCGACTCCTCTGTGGCCACTCTTATGGCTTATACACGGCTGGAGGGGGCTCTGAGGGGGCCAGGAGCGGAGGGGGGGGATGAGGGCCGGGCGGGGGGGCAAGAGGAGTTTAACTGCTGCCCTCCTCGGCCGAGCGTGTGTCCGACTTGAGCTTGACGAACTCCTTGGCCACGTCGTCGTTGTTGCGCTGGGAC